TTCTCATTTGTCGTTTTTAAGCAACTTGAAGCGTTGTTCAACAGACTAACCTTTCATTTCTCCACTTATGTTCACCTGTTTGCTGGATGCATTGAAATTCGGCTAAAATTTCTCACATTCAAAGACTGGTAAAAAAGAAGTTTCTGGTTCTTTGGGAATGGTTTATGCTATTCTTAGAATTGGTCATTGAAATTCAAACATTGAAGTATTCTTTTCTTAGTGAACAATAAATTTTCCTCTTAACGAAGTAAACAAATTTTGAAGCGAGGCTCATGTCACATCTACGGAAAGCATTTTCTCATTGAAACATTTTCCCATGCAACGAATATCATGTAGGTTCAAAAGTTTAAAATCATTCGGTTTTAAACTTCTAAACTTGCATGATATTCGTTGCATGAGAAAATGCTTCAACTTGCTGTGCAGGATCCCTAAAAGTAATACGCTAAGTGAACATCTCCGGTGGCGAAAGCTATTTCAAAATTGATTAGTTCAACAAGTGAACGCTTCCTGCATCTTAAAATCAGTTCGGGCACGGCTCATCTAAGAATACGGCATAAATTTGATCCTCGGTATTTAGTTCAAGACGATATCGTATGGTAATCGGCAAATACCTGAACAAATAAAACAAGAATTACCGTATCTGTATCAAATTCGCGAACGCCACCTCGATAAAGGCCCACAGAGAAGGACTGTTGTTCAGCGATTGATGGGTCATATCTGCCTAATATTTCACGTAAACACTAAAAAGCAAAGTTTCAGCCGTTCAGTGTTCTCATAACCAAGTCTTTTATCATGCAACTATCAATATCGCGGCATTCCTTGTTGACTGACAGTTGCATCGAATACGGATTTGTGATAATAAGTTGATAAATAGAGCATTCTGAAGAATCCAACCGTATGCTGTGTCGCAATACGATTTGTTCTGCCAATGGGGCCTTCAAGATGTATTTTGTGCGTTTCTCTTGCATGAAATTCTGCACGTCGACGTTGTATCTCGTTATCAATATGCCACGGTCCAACTATTGAAGTAAACTGAATAAATTTCCCCATCATTACTGTCAGTGATACGATAATGGTTGTTTAATACGTCTCAACCCATCCACCTATCATTATTACTACGGTTAGCGTTGCAGTTATTTATATTGCCTTCAATGTTTTTTTGCTGCTGTGATTATCACAAAGATTAAGGATTAGCTTGATTTCTTGTTAAACTAACCCATCAGATGAATGAACTTGGTTGAGCTAGCTTATTCGTGGGTTGCTATTATTAATGTTCTCACTATTTCTCATTGTTCTTATTCTCAGAGTTCATTAGCATTATCGATGTCAAACCTTATTTAATCGTATCTCTGACTTATTTAGTCGAGTCTTACCTTTCTCTCAGCCGTGAGCGGTGCACTCATCAATACTCAATTCTCATCAATACTCAAAGAATTTTGTAATGTTTCCTTGGTGATGTTTCAGGCGATATTTACTTTACGAGAAACTATCACTGATAATATCTTCCTCAAAATGAGTTTTTCTATGGAATAGCGAATAAACATGAGGAGATCAAAATTGGATGATACGATAGATTCTGTATGATCAGTTTTGATCACCTGATCAATAATCCCGTATCTTAAATTGAATTCACATATCGCAATCTCTGCAGGCATGCAAATACCATCAAAATTACCGTATGTCTGCGCAGATACAAATAGAAATCGTGTCCTCTGCAATACAAATTAGTATAATTCCTTCGGGATGAGGATACATTCCGTTATGATGTTTGACTTCAAAAAACTGCTGAATGCCAATGAACGAAAAAAAGTTAGCTACACATTCAATATACTTAGTTATGAATTTGTTTGAAGCATTTTGTACATTACTTCGACCGTTTCATTTTCCAGAAAATCAAACTTCACAATAAAATGACAACAACAATCATCAACCCCTCATTACCAACGACAAAATGAATTGAATTTAAGTCTGGTCGCTTCAGACTTTGAATCAGTTCTGCTAATTGAATTTCACATAACCTTAATTTCATCGATGCCTTTCAAAGATCGTAAAAATTCAAGAACGCGTATCTTATCATTCGTATATTTCAGACTGTATGAATGCTCACTTTTGGAATCATCTGAATAAAAGTTCGATGAAATGAAGTTTAACTCCATTCATTGTCAATGATTTACAATAACTGAAGGTTTGCTAAGCAAATCAAGCACATTTTAGCAATAGTTTTTAGCAATAGTATTTTGAAATAGTGACTCCAGTCAGACATGAAATGACTTTCACACATTATAGCCTTCTCTCACTTCAAGATTTCAATCGGTTCTATTTTCACCGATTTCTATCACTGCAACTCAGAGAGTGAAATGCGAACCATCATAATCTGCTGCATTAATTGGTTTACCGAACATGGCGTCTTCGGGATAATCCTCATCATCAAATTCGTCCAATTTTTTGCTGATTTCATTGCTTGTTCGTATCTCTCTGAACCGTGACGCTCATCAATTCATTAACTACTACATTTCATCGATTAAACACTTTTTCGAGCCCAACATTTCATTCCGTTTCATGCTTTATTTGTCAGCTCATCAGTCATTCTCAGTCTTTGAATTTAGTTTCTCGGTCATTCAATGTTGTTGAATTGTTANAGCACTATCAAAGAGGATGCTTTACTTTGACAATTGTTAAAAATCGCAAATTTAGGAATGACAAAAGGTAACAACAAAAATACTTGTGGTTAACGTGAAATTTTTGCTGGTAAAATGAATAAGTGAATCGAAGAATCGAAACGCACGTATCTATTGAGTTGCGATTTCTTTGACGACGATTCGATCTCAGTTGGCGTTTAAACGTATAATAATCATTCGCCGTTGTTGTTGTTGAAATTTGCCTCTCACGATTGCCAGCTTTCCAAACCTTTAATTTTCACTTATTAATTGGTACCTTCAATGTCGGCTGAGCAATCAACATTTTCAGTCCACGTCAGTTTATGCGCTTGAAAATCGTAAACATAAACGATGGAATTGTTCAAATCTTTAACGATCTATGAAGATCAATCACTGATCAGCAAATACTTCGAAGAAAATTAGAGCAATCCGAGGATGAATAAAATTAAAGTGCTCGAAATGTTTGGGAATTCAGATCGATCCAAAAATTTTGATAAGAAACAATCAGAATCGCTAGGTAGAAACTCTTCGTATGTTTAAGCTGACCCCAACTGATCAATGTATTAAGCGCTAACTCATATCGCATAGATTCAATCATACAATATTCATTGATATTGCAATTCACAAATATTCAATGC